GTGCAACATCATGATTATTATGAAAAAACTGCCTCATATCAGTGCACCTGCTAATCAGGTCTTTTCAAATAGTGATGATGCTCTTTCTGAGTATGCATATTAAATAGGGATTTTATGAACATGAATATCCATCCCCTTGCTATATAAGCAATTTAATCAAGCAAATTTAACATGTACAGTACACGTCACTGATTTCATAACAAACCTCATGGAAAAAGAACAGTTTTTTGACAATTTGTGAAAATATCTAAATTTAATTAAAGTATCTTTTTTCAAAGAACTCCTCAATTATAGTAATTTCAGATTACTATTTGTAAATAAAAATTCTGAATTTTGATGGCTTGATCTGTCTTAGTAGCCTCTAATGCATGTTTCTTCTCCCAGACTATCCTTTCTTCTGATGCCTGATGCTCCTCATTTTCTGTTGATTTTTCTGCATCAGTAAATCTCTCAAATAGATACATTCACCCTTTCTATTTGTCATAACAGCTCCTCCTTGGGAAAACAAAAGGACAAATATGCTGTTTGCTTCAATAAAATAAATACGTAATTACCGAAAAAACCAGCAATAATTCACTTCCAAACAAACGTTTTCTACCGTTTTCAACAGTCATCATCAGGTTCAATTCCAAGAGTTCAAAAAATTGAATGTTGAAGTTATGTGCATGCCCGATGTAGAACCTTTAACAAAATTAGTCCTGTAAGTGGTTTCCTGTTTAAAAAATTCCGATGTTTATATAAAATATGTAGGCGCACATGATGTATATCTATTATACGTCAAAATACACCCTCCACGCAATTGCCAATGAGTCTGTTTCCTTGAAATTGATGGCTGTTCCCGTCTTGAACGCTTTAAATATTTCTAGCTGTTCAAGATATTTCAAGCTGGCCTGGTGCTCACACCATTGTATTAATCGTGCATTAACATAGTCCACCCTGACATCATCATCTAGGGCGAAAGAAGCCAATGCCGTAGTGGAAAGGCATTTTTGTATTGAGTATTTGTGTTCCTTGATCCTTGTTTTAAGGCAGTGTGCGGTAGCACCAATATATTCGCCCAGACGATTCACCCTATGATCATAAATAGGGATAGAATGTATTCCTGGGATACAATTCCACTCAAATCAGTCCTTGTCATTTCTTAAATAAGAGAAAATGGTCGGCGATCTCCTGTAAGCGATCCTTTCACTTGTATAATGGGCTATTTGTTTGTAGGTGTTGTGAAGGATCCTGTTGTAAGTAATAGGAACAAAGGACAGGCTTTCTGGAAGTGCCGCAGGTTTTTCATGGCGTGCTACTAGCTCATTAATTAGGCGTGTAGGGTAACCATGCAGCCTAGCTACACTTGAAATAGATTCCAGCTCCATTTTTCTATCCTCTGCTCTCGAACAATGAGTGAAAGCCCTTCTTATTAGGGTCTTAAAAGCAGAGACCTTGTAACCAAAAGGATCATGTGATTTGGCATGTATGTAAAATATTCTTTACTTTTTAAATCTTAAAACAATGTACTTAGTCAAATAGCTCCCTATGAGTGGCTAATGGATGGAATTGAAGACAGTTGCAGAGCATGCATACACGTGAACTGCCAAATTCCTAGGGTGCCGATACCGGTCAATGTCAAATACTGTACATCTTTTGTCGCATCACTAGTATATCTCAAAGGACGCGACAGGGCTGTTGTAGATTTTAAACGTTTCTCACCATAGCTGTAAAAATCTAAATATGTTAAACTTAATAGCAGGGCTGTGGAGTCGCGTAAAAATCTACCGACTTCGACTCTTCCTTACCATCCGACTCTGACTCCGTTTCATATACCTAACAAGTTGGTAAGTAAAAAGGGAGTCAGAGTCTGCGGATTTTTTGACGACTCCGACTCCGGCCAAAACACCAAAACTCCATGACTCCGACTCCGACTCCACAGCCTGCTTAATAGTCATTTGTTTTCTAACTAATTCGTTTTAGGACCAGGTGTTCACAGAAATTTCCAAAATTTACTTTTCAGTCACTCTCATTGAACTGGAAAAATTTCTGTCTTTATTACATCTAATATTATGAAGAAATCAGTCCACACTGTACTAGGTTAAGCTTCTGTTTAAGTAAAATTCCAGTTCTTTCAGCAGGGTTTTATTTGTGACCCCAATTCCCCAATCGCTTAATTATTTAACTACTTCTTAAGTAGAAATAAGTCAAAACCAGTTACTTTGTACTTGAATATTTGTAGTTTTGGGAAAAAGTGGAAAGACAAATTTTTACCCAAACCCAAATACCACGAGCAGGTGTTGGAGCTTGCCCATCTTATGTGTTACACCTCATTCTTCACCTTCAACCAGCGAGTCTATCTACAGGAAAGGGGAGTTCCTATGGGTAGCCACCTCTCTGGAGACCTCTGCGAATTAAATGTGAGAAAATTGGATAGCCAAGTGTTACAGTCCTTCGATGCAGAAATCATTCTTTATACGTGCTATGTAGATGATATTTTTATCATTTGGAAATCCAAGCGGATCTAAACACCATACTGCAGATAGTGAATAACAACCCTTTTGGACTTAAGCTTAGGTTAGACCAGCAGGATGACAAGATGGACCATTTTTTGGACCTCAATATCTTCTTGAATCTTGGCTGCATAACTACAAATGTGTTCCATAAGCCTAATCTTCAATCTTTCTTTATCCCCGCAACCTCAAATGACCCCTTTACTTATAAAATGCCCGCTTCAGGGCTCTAATCCGCAGAGCTTTTACCCATTGCTCTAGCATTAAGGATGTGCTACGAGAAATCCAACGCATCAAGCACCTCGCCACAGCCCACGGTTTCAACAGTAAGTTTATTGATAGGCTTGCGCAAAAAATTCATAGATTAGATTTATAGATTCAAACTAAATAGACCAACCCACCCTCTCCGTGTGCAACCGTTAGTGTTTTTTTGTGTCGCGTTTATTTTCCAATTCTGCTTCCCAATCGTAGCCCCTTTCCCATCTACAATTGTTCACACACCTCTTCTTACTGTATCGTTAGCTATTTACAGCGTCAACTATGACGTCACTCCCCATTAACCTCCTATCGTGATAGTGCATCTTCTTTACGTACCACACTTACTTTACAATTTATTCCCCAACTGTAGCGAGTATCCCATCATGAACTATCTGCACACCTTTCTTTTTTACCAAATGAAAGAATTTTTCGCCCTCGGTATCGTCTATACCTATCATCAACGATGACGTCACTGGTAAGACGATACCTAGGTAAACATTGGCAGCGTTGAAACTTCTACCAACCGATGCTCTAACAGATCACAGTGTACCTGAAGAAGGCTTATTAAGAAGGCCGAAAACGTTTGTACTCGTGTATAAATGGCTAGAAACAAGTGAGAAAGGTTTTGTATTGATCATCTTAAAATAGTTCTAGCTACAAATGCATAGAAGTAAAAATATATTAGATTCATTTGTAATATTTTAACTGTACTATATATAGAGTATGTTAAAATATATATATTCAAAATTTGTTCACTTTTCTTTTGTTTTAAATTATTTTGTTTAATAAAAGTTATACAAAATATTATTAGCTTTTCATATTTTTTAAAAAAAGATTTAGAAAGAAATTTTAAAAGATTTGAAAAAGTTTCTTTTGAAGAATGCATATAAAAATTAAAGATCTAAAAAATTATACATTACTATAGTTTATATTTTAAATTATTGTTTTATATGTTACAGTTTATTAAAGAACTTAACTTTATATATGTATTAGTGTCAAAAATAACAATATATTAATCATGAAAATAAAATAGTTATGACATAATCATCAATATCAATCATCAATCAATATATATTATAAAAGTAAGTGTACAATGTGTGTGCTGCTAAAACTCAAAAACGAGTCCCGTACGATTAAGGGAGTTATATGGTGTGGTAGCCCTCTATCCCCCATCCATGAAGAAGGTTCCAGTTTTTATTTAAAAGGGCGTGCTGTTGAAGATATAAGGGCTGGAAGTTAAGGCTTATACTGAAGAACTCGGCTTCTATTGTACTATTTTTAGATGCGATTTTTTTGTGTTTTTGACTGCATTTTAATAGGCTATAACATTTAGTAGGGTACCATGAGGAATGAAAGAAGTGTACTCCTTAACAATGGAAGTATTAAGAATGGAAGTGTTAAAAATGGAAGTGTTGAGTAACAATGGAAGTGTTAAGAGAAAGCGGCGTGCAAGATTTACAGGCGCAGATGTGGTTTTTTGCGTTTTTGCAGGAAATCGAACATACTTTTAGACCCATGTAAAAATTTTCTAATTAGTCTGGAAATGGGGGACCTAATTCTAGCATTCTGTGAAAATCGTTACTTTTTGCCCGAGCAATGCCGGGCTCATCTGCTATTTTTCTATAAATGCGATATTTACGAGAACATACTTCCCATGTAATTTTTTCCATCTGCTGCAAAAATATAAACACTATTATCGCAATTATTATAGCACTTTTACAAGATTTCTTTTATTTAAACAAGTCATATGAAGTCTTTCGAACTTTAAGGCTAGGAATTTCGATCACGTGCGGGGTATCACAACCTCTCTAACAAGGATCACTTTTCAAATATAAAATAATCAAATTGTTTATATTGATTTGTTTTAATTTTATTATATTGTAGTGTTTTATTTTTATAACTACAAAGGTTATCTTAGGTAAGAGTTTATCACACTGAGTGACCAATATACAGATTTTAAAAATTTTTTATTCCTCTACTGTACACAATTTAAAGAATTTTTAAAATGTGTTAGATTGGTCACTTGGTGTGATAAACCCTTACCTAAGATAACCTTTGTAGTTATATAAATCAAATACTGTAATTTAATATAATAGAAGGGTTGGAAGTACAAAATAATCTATTAGATTATTTCATACTTTTCTAATCTTCTAATCTTAATTTTTGGTGTAGTTATTTTTTTGCCTGAGCAATGCCTGGTTCATCTGCTTGTGAATTATAAAACACAATGATTTTTATTGAATTTTTTAGGGTATAGACCATCATGATTTTCTTTCTGGTCAGCATAACTGGTATGTTACTTCTCATGCTCGTCCTACTTATTGCAATGTGTGCCATGAAGCATTATCAGGAGTGACATCTCATGGATTATCTTGTGAAGGTAATAATGTGTAATAAATAAATCAAATTTTTTCAATAATATATCAAAAATATTTCAAATTTCAATAATATATTTTAGTAAATACATTGAAAATTAAAATTGTAATATAGTAATGTGTTAAATAAGATTGCATTAATTATAATTAAAATACACAAAAGAGTAACAAACTGTAATATATAAAAAATATATAATTTTATTAAAATAATTTGATATTTTGACTGTAAGTATAATAATTGAAAATGTTTACAGTCAAACTGAAAGTGCATGATGTTAAAAAATGAAAATGCAGAGATTTTCATAATCAATCTAGCAATAAACATTTTGCATATCCTATTAAAAGAAAGGGCATAGATGTTGGATTTGCATTGTTTTTAATGAAATAAATTAGATGGAAAATTTGGATTCAATTTGAATTCATTTAATCCAAATTTTGATTCATTGCTCAAATTATCCTATTTCAAGATAAAATAAGACATTATTATTTATCTCTTAGCAAATTATAATTTTTCATTTGCAGTATGAATTATTTCTCTAATGGATTTCTTTCTAACAATTTTATCATGAAAATTTTATTCATTCAAGTTTTTGTATATTATTTCAATGCTAATGTTTAGTTTAAGTTTTTCTGTAATTTATTTTGTTGTAAATGGTTTTACTTTAATCTGATGAAAAAGTTATTGTTATAAGTTACATTTCTGTTCTCTTATCTGTTATATTTGTCTAGTTCAAATTCCAACTTCATCATAATTTTCACTTTTAATGATTGTCTTTCATACAGTTTTTGATCTTTTAAATATTTTTTCATTTTTCTAATGTTTAAATTTTAATTATTATTGATTTATTTGCAAGTTTTAATATTTAAAATGGTTGATAACAATATCATTTAATAAAGTATAGTATCAAAAGATTGAAAAAATAATATTGGACTTCACACAGAATATTGGATAAGTAAAATTGAGAAAATTATCATCTAGGCGTTAACAGTTGAAAGCTCTAGTTGTTTGTAGCAGTAGCTGTAGGTTGTTAACGCCTAGATGATAATTTTCTCAACTTTACTTATCAAAAGATCACAGTATATTTTTATTATTTATTATTATTTTTTTTTTTTATTTTTATTGAGGTACTTTTGACAGTTGATGGTGTTGATGTGAATTAAAGCATATCTTTCTGATTTGAGTTAGGTGCTAAGTTTAAGATGGCAAGATGGCAAATACAAGTATTTCTAACGATAATACTTTCATTTCTACTGATAACAGCCAGTGTAGAACAAAATCTGGATCCTCTCTCTTATTCTCCATTGAAAAGAGGACAGTCACCTTTAACAAGAAGTAGCACTGCAGTTAAAGTGACTAAGTCAGCAATTTAGAAACAATGCTTTGTATGCCATCTGGTATTTTCTCTGGTATGGAGAAAAGGGAGAAAGTTTGTGAGGAAGAGAAAGAGATGAATTTTGAAGCCATGTTAGAAGCTTCTGTTGATCTTATGGAAAGTGAAGACCGTTCAACTGAAGTTTTCTTGCATCACATGACTAAGTTAATACAAATATCACACTGAACAACTATTGGAAATTAAATCAGAGATCAGTTTAATTCATCAAGATATCAAAGAACTCAAAGCCAATATTGGTATACTAGAACAGAAAGATAAAATAAATTAGAAACGTCATTACCAGATATTGCTAGATGATTGGAACTACAACAGTACATTGCAAATAATTTATTAAATCTATCTAATCAACATAACTTTATAATATTTGGTTATCCTATGACAGATAATGTGGATATCATAGAAGCTCTCTTAACTTTGTTCAGATATTCTTTGAAACTTGAGATGAATGATGAAGAAATAACTAGATTAAATTTTATAAGAAAGGTAGACCCTTCTATTTTTAAAATAGAGTTAAGTTCCATACCAAGAAAAAACCAAATATTGTCATCTTTTTATAATTATAAAAAAGGGACTGATGATCAGTTTTTCAAGAACCTATGAATGAGTTATGATTTGACTCAAGAAATGAGAATGAAGGACAAAAATTTTTATTTTTTGTATAGAGGCAAAAAAGAAAGGGTTAAAGGTGATGGTAAACCTTCTATTATTTGGTTAAAGGAATGATTTTATAATTTATAAAACAAGAAATTTACATATAGCTGTACTAATGATGGTCTTCTTGATGCTAAATTGTTTTTAGATATAGAAATCACTTAAATAATTTATTTCGTTTGGCCAAAGATATGGTTAACCAGAGTAGAATAGTTGTCTTGGACTGTTTGGACATTCCATTAAATAATTAATCTAATGTTAAAGTTATCTGTTGGAATATGCAGGGTGCAAGAAATAAGATTTTTTCAACTTTTTTAAAAAACAATTTTAATAGAATATCATATACTTGGTTTATAAGAAATATGGATAATGAAATATACTGAAATGGAGATTGTGCTCCTGCAAAGTTTATATAATTATATTTTGGTCCAAGTAACTAAAAAACCTGGTAGAGGTAGACGTGGCATGTTACTATTAAGAAGAAAAACTTTGGGAGAAATTGTTTACTATCATTGATGTTGGTTTTTGATATTTGATATGGTCAAACTTCACAGAAGTAATTTTAAGATGTTTCCAAATAGTTATCTGTCAATAGCTGTGAACTTTATACTGCCATACGAAATTATTCTGAATTCTTTTGATGAATTGGAGAAGATTATGAAGAACTTGTTACATTTTACTTCTTGGTTAATAATTGGCAATTTTAATGCTAAAATAGGAAATGAATGTGACACAAATTATTACAGGAATAACTCAGCTGTCTACAACAAAAGAATGAGTCATGGCTCTGGAACTAATAATAAAGGAAGATTATTGTTAAATTTCATTTAAAATTATAACCTGTTTATCTTACACAGGCACTTTGTTGGAGATTTCCAGGGTTGTTATACCCACATCTTCCATAAGGGAGTTTTGGTAATTGACTATGTTATATATTTAGAATTTTTGTTGGACTACTATATTAAATTTGAGGTTTTTGAGGTCAATGTGACTGATATTTTCCATTTCAGCTGACAGTAGGATGGTGCTTAAATAATCATTCTTTGATGGAAAATCAAGGAAAAGTGTACAGTCAATTATGAAGAAATATAAATATGATAATACTACCTTTGAACAAAAGATTGATGATAAAATAAGATAAATTCAGAATGTAGCATTAATAGAAGGCCCTGATTTCATTTATAGTAAAATAAGTGAAATTTTTAGTTATTATATAATTAAAATGAATCCAAATAGAGTTAAATATTACTCAAAAGTAGCTCTAAATTTAGGCATGAATGGTCTGACTTAGATCAGAGGTGCCCAAAGTGTGGGCCGTGGCACCCTAGGGAGATGTGACCAGTGCTGGCCCGAGACAAGTTTTAGGATGGAGCGAGATCCTATTATGGTGCCCGGGGGTGGAACCCCGCCCACGCACTCAACCCACGCACGTCTCAACAGATAAGGCCATTCACATACTGACCACACGCTTGCAATTAAAATATCGAAAAGTGAAAAAAATATATTTTTTCCTTTACTTTTTTTACCACTGAGGCGCCCCCTAAGACTTAGCGCCTGGAGCGGCTACTCCGTTCGCCCTATGGTAGGGCCGGCTCTGGATGTGACTTCCTCACAGGGGTGCCATGTAATATTATAAAGTTTTCATAATTTTACTTTTATTTTCAATTCAATGTGATATGATGCAACATCTAGCAGACCTGATGCAAACCATTAACTCACTTAATGATAACTGTTTGCAAAAGCATCTACAAATGTTTACCAGATGGTGCTCTGCAATAATATTCTTAATTGTTTTAGAAGTTTGTCAAACTTTCTTGATGATACTTTGTGTTCATATATAAACAGCAGTCAGTTTCATGCGATTTCAGTGTTCAATTAGTTTTCAGAAATTGTATCAAATCATGTGACTACTTTACTAGAAAGTTAAAAGAGTTAAATCAAGAAAATTGCAGTAGTTTTTATAAGCAGGAATCAATACAAAGCAATGCTTTGCTAGCATCTTACAAGGTGGCACATATAATCACAAAATGTAAGAAACCTCATACCATCGCAGAAGAACTCATTCTACCGGCTGCTATAGATATGGTGAATATTATGATCGGCAAGTCTGCTGGGAAGCAACTTTCAAAAGTGCCTTTGTCCAATAATACCATCAGTCACAGAATACAGCACATAGCGGAGGACATCAATGATCAGTTAATTGAGAAAATAAAAGGAAAGGAATTTGGGTTGCAGCTGGAAGAAGCCACATATAATAATAATGATGCTCACTTGATTTGCTATGTACGGTTTATAGATAGTAATAACATTGTAGAAGACCTTTTCTTTTGTAAAAGTATCACTATTGGTGCTAAAGCTCAAGACTTGTTCAAGACTTTTGATACTTTTATATCCGAAAATAATTAAGAATGCATTGATATCTGTAATGATGGTGATCATTCTGTGCTCATCCAGCTGTTATGGAAGATTGCAAGAACTTGAATGAAGCAAAGCCCCTGATGTACTGTGGACCCATTGCATTATTCACAGGGAAGCACTCACATCAAAATATCTGGGTTCTATATTGAATCAGGCTTTAGAATATGTACTGAATGTAGTAAACTTTATAAAAACTCGGTCATTGAAGGCAAGATTTTTCAATAAACTATGTGATGATATGGAATCAGAGAACACTTCTTTGCTGTACTACAGCACTTTGTGATGGCTCTCTTGTGGTAATGTTTTGTCTCATATGTTTGAACTGCAACAGGAAATTTAATATTTTTCTTAAAGAGGAAGATCCCAAGAATGTCAAAAATTTTTGAATGAAGAATTTTTGGTATAACTAGCATATTTATGTGATATTATTAAAAAGCTGAATGCTCTGTATCTCTCCCTGCAGGGAAACAATATTCACCATTTAAAGCCAATTGAGAAAATTTTAGCTTTCATTAAAAAAAATTAAAACAATGGAAAAGAAAAATAAATTAAGACAGAGGAAAAGAATATATCCCCTTGTTGCGACAGTTTTTGACCTCCAGTGGAGTTGATTTCTTTTGAGGTATGAAATCTATTTTTTAAAACCATTTATCACAGCTTACTGTGTATCACCTGGTTTGTGAAATATTTTGTAAATGATAATATTGATAAATTTGCATGGATTCAAGATTCATTTAATGCCAGTTCTCCACCTGAATTTACTGCTGCATAAAAAGAGAATCTTATTGAGTTGTCTTGTGACAATATGTTGAAAACAAAATTTAGCAGCATGAAATTAATTGCATTTTGGATACCAGTAAAAGATAAATATCCTCTTCTGAGTGGTAGAGCTCAGAGAATTTTAATTCCATGTGCAACTTCTTTTTTGTGTGAAGTTGGGTTTTTGGCTATCTCTGTGATAAAAAGTAAATATTGAATGAAAATCAATGTGGAGGAAAAAATGAGGGTGGCTGTGTTCAGTTTCATTCCAAGATTGGAGAAAATGTGCAGTGTTCAACAGGCTTTTCCATACCACTAATTATAATTAATTGAATTTGTTCAATTACATTTTAAATCTTTAATACATGTTTTATTTATTTTTAACTTAATGTCCTAACTCATTAAGTAAAAAAATTGTTGGCTATTTTGCAAGTTTTAATTGTTAGGATTTGACATAGAGCGCCTTGGATAAATCTGATTTAGCAAGGGCCCCGAGAATTGGAAAAGTTTGGGAACCACTGACTTAGACTGTTATGAAGCCAAAAGATTAAAAGAAAAAGCACTAATTGTATTTCATAAAAACAGATCAAGAAAGCTATGGATAGAATTTATTGCTTGCAAGAAAAGCTATACTAATCTAATAAAAACAAAAAAGAAAATTTATTTTAACTCATTGAATAAAAAGTTACAATCCAGCAAAAATACTTCTGGTTTTTTGGTCAATTGTTAAAAAATACTACCCAAGAAATATAGTGGAGAAAGATGATTTTATTGTTTTTAACCAGTGGTATGAATTTTTCATGGAGAGATCAAAGAAGATGCAGATTAATTCATATGAAATTGACTTGGAGGGTTTGGAAGAGGTGGAGGATCAGATGCTGAACCTGCCTATCCAGGGAGTGGAAATAGCGAAGATTATTGGTAATTTGAGAGAGAAAACAGCAGTGGGTCCTGACTTGATTCAGGTTAGTTTTTTAAAATGGCTGCCAAATGAAGCAATGGATCTTCTTGCTCTTAGTTTTAATTATATTTACGAAAGAGAAACTTTTTTGGATCTGTGGAAGTTTATCAGAGAAGATGGTTTTAAAGTGTGAAATCAGATAATTCACTCAATCCAATATGCAGATGAATAGAAAATCTTGTAATAGCATAGTAGAAAATCTCAGAGTACGCAAAAACATGGTGGTAATCTCGCAGAGTTAATAGTATTCCTGAAAAATACTGAAAAGCCCGCGTACATCTCAATCATGGATTTCTGTTCTTTATATCCATCAATTGAATTACCACCATGTTTTTGCGCACTCCGAGATTTTCTATTACAAAACGTCTATGCTCAGGAATTACACCAGCTGATTCTTGAAGTAGCACATTTGATTTGCTACAACTCAATTTTTCAATTTGGAGGAAACACGTATGCGCAGGGCAGAGGCGTACCTATGGGAAGTGCTGTCTCAGGCGACCTATGTGAACTGGTAATCAGACAGCTGGAAAATAAAATAATTCTGAGATTTAGCCACAACATCATATTGTACAAGCAATACATAGACGACATCATTATTTTATGGAGGCACAAACCTAACATTACCCTCTTTGTGAATAGGATGAATGACAATCCATATGGCCTTACCATAGAACTTGAGCAACATAGTGAATCCGAGGTACATTTTCTTGACTTGAGCATTGCATTTGGAGGAGACACCATATACACATCTGTCTACCGCAAATCTTGTCACCTCCCAACGTATATCCCAGCGAACTCCTGTGATCCGTTTAGATATAAAATGGTGGCATTTAGAGCACTGGTTAAGAGGGCCTACACCCATTGCTCAACACAGGATACTTTAGTTCAAGAATTGAACTATTTGCATAACATCGCTAGTCAACATGGATTCAACATTATGGTCCATAAATTAGCACGATAATTCACCAGCGGCCTCCCACCTACTCCTCCACAGAACAGTGTAGAACAAGACCACCGACTTGTTCCTGTCACATACAACCCGTTACTAACATCCCTGTATCAAAAAATAGCTAAAAAACAAGGAGTACGCTTAGCATACAGAAGATGCCCGTTTATGTTTAAGCTTCTACACAATGAAAAAGATAAACCTAACGAGTATAAGCTACCAGGAGTATACGCTGTCCCACTCACGGACCATAGATTTGAGAGGAAACTGGTCTACATTGGCNAAACCCTAATAGCGTGCAACTGAACATTATCTTGTTGGAAAATGGCTGTTTGCAGAATTGCCATGAAAAGCAACACACAAGGCTGCAGTGGTATGCAGGATTTCCTAAACATATAATTGTACTTTCAATGTATTTTGGACCATTACTAGGAGTAATTGACTGTCACAAGCGATGGCTTCCCAAACAGAACCAGGACACAGAACCAGGCTAAATGCTATATATTGCTAGTCCATGCTTCTCTGTCATCTCACCACTGTAAACAAAACCAATGATGTTGTGTTGCTAATGGCAGGATGCACAGTTGCTGCCATGCATGAAAATTTGCCATGTCTTTACCTTAATACTTATAGAATACATGCCTTGGGTTGTCCTTCCATTTCCATTCACAACTCTTATTATGTCTGATATAATATAATAGTTCTCCTTAATTATGAATTAAGCTTCTGAAGTTACTTAGTGTTGTTATCCTGTGAATATAATACTGTTACATCAGTTATATTTGCAATATAAAATTTATTTAGAATATATTTTTAAAGATTTTCATTTGACATTATCCTATGTATATTTTTGATTCTTATTTACTTTGTTTAGATATGTTGCTCTTTCTTGGTGCATGTCCCTAATGTAATTTCCATCTTTTCACTACTTTACTGATATCATGCTAAGCATGTTATTATTTTAAAATATTTTCTATTTCTATATAGTTTGTAAATTTAAAGTCCACAAGAAGTGTGCTATAAGGGCACCAAATAATTGTAAATGGACTACTCTGTCATCTGTTGGTAAAGATATAATTGAAGATGAAGATGGTGTAAGTATTAAATTGATGTTGATATGATAAAATAATGAAATAATCTGTTTTTTGAAAACTAGTAATTGCTATCATTTAACAATTATATTCTTATGCTGTTACTTTTCCCTTTTGTCATGATTTAAGTTATCATAATGAAAGAGCAAAACGGCTTAATGAACTTGAAAATCTCAATATTTAGTACTGATTTACTTGCTTTTCTTTGGTTTTGGCTGAGAAAATGTTAAACATATTAATTAAGATTTCATTAATTAATGTATTCATTAATTTTATACTATCCATGAATCTGTACTGTGTAACTTGTTGATATCATATCCAAAGATCCACTTTTGGAGAAGGCAGCTATGAAACACATGCTCATATCATATCAAGGCAGAATGAGGCAGTGTGATGACACTGCCTCATTCTGCCAAATGCTGTGGACTTTACTCTGCTGCTAATAATTATCATAATGTGTTTATGTACATGGCTGGCTCTTGCATGAAGTGGTATAAGCTCTGTCTTTGTAATATACAGGGACAATAAAGAACTATTTTTCATATTTGATGCAGACAGTTGCTGTGAGCATCATTTCCTGGGCAAGAGTATTACCATCTACACAATGCTGCTGTACTTGCTTACAAAATGATCACATCCTCAACAATCTTGTCAGAAAGATTCAAGATGCAGCACTCATTTAAGAGAGAACTCTTATTAATTGCAAGGGATCAGAGGACACTATGGTACTGTTGGCAATGAAAGGACCAATGCCATTGCTCGATCTGCAGCGTCCTCTACCCAAAATTTGTGTTTAATAAAATTCTCTCATTATATACGAAAGGCCAAATCAGGCAATAACTTTATCTTAATTGGCAGCAACATTGGGACTTGGTTGAGAATACATAAATTACCAAAGAATTCATCCTTAATGTCAACAAATTTATCAGCTTCTTATGAATTTACCTTTCACACAGATTCATTCAGTTTCTAACTAAACATGGTTCATTTTCTTCTTACTTATACAGATTTTGACAATCTACCAGTGGCCAAGTGTTGCCTATGCCATACTGTGGGTGGGATCAGGCATTACATCTTTGCTTGTCCCGTACTTGAAGACATTTGGCTGAATTCATTTCATAACTTCAATCTAGCAATGCTGTGTGGCCTTGCCCACTTTCTTATCTTCTGTCTCACAGAGACATTTATCATCTGCTCCTGGAACTCATAAACCTGTATATGCATAGAACAAATGTTTATTATATTAATAATTCTATTTAACATTCTCCTGGATTACCTTTTATCTACAAAGAATTTTCCATTGTGTTTTTCTTTCATCACTAGTACTTTCAGTTACATTCCTACCTTGTACATCAACAATCATGTCAAAAAGCAAATCTTCATTCTCTGGCAAGACAGCTGAGACCATGACACTACTGGTAAGCTCACCTATACCTTCATCCCCAAGGTTGACACTACTGCAACTCTTTGCCACTTTTACCCAAGTTTCACCCTCACTAACCTACTTACAGGACATGGCAACTTTAAGCAATACTTGCATAGATTCAACCTTGGGGACAATCCACAATGCAATTGTAGTATTCAGGAGGACCAAACACCACTTCACTTAGTTTTTCACTGCAATACGTACTACATTAGGGATAGTTTAATGAGAGCTGCTATTCTTGTAGGGTACAACTGTCCTAGCAACCCACACCAACTCATTCACATGCGTACAGTGTTCCATCATATACTCGCATTCATATCCCATAGTGGGGCTTTTGGGAGCACTCTCTCTGGGGGCATGGATGGCAATTAGCTTTCCCTTGCTTTGTTTCAACTGTCTGTATATAGCTGCCTTTCAACTTTGTATTTTAATTCTTATTTTTTATCTTCTTTTTTAGTCTAAATTCAATTAGTCCTAATTGTAAGTTAGATTAGGGACTCTTAGCTTGGTTTCCAGTTAGGTTATGATAGGTTAGGTTAAATTAGATTAAGGTTTGTTAGTTTTAGTCAAGTAGGTTAGTTTAGTTAGTGAGTAAGTTAACGTTTAAAAATAAATAAATAAATACATTAAAAAATATATTAAAAAAATAAAATAAATAAATAAATAAAAAGTTTGGGGTCTTGCTCGTTTGTCTCTGTTGGTCTGTTCATCTTGTCTAGTTTGTCATTGTGTTCATTTGCTTTTTGCGCTGTCTGTCTAGCTGTTAAGTAGTATCAAGATTCATGATCACATTCAGTTTTATTAGTATTAAGTAGATATAAGTCTTCCTACTAACAGCCACTTGGCACTAACTTCTACACTTAGCTATTCGTTGCAGCACTCAATTATTGGTGTTCACTACACTCACGTTTTTTTTAGACCCTTTAGGGGACTACAGCCTTGCAGCCTAAAAACTGCATGTCAGCATCAAACATAGAGGGTACTGTAGCCTTATATATGCCATTCAGAGGGATCCTACCTTTCTCTACTGTCTATCTCCTCTCCCTCCTTCTTCCCNAAGTCTTTAGTCACTAGTACTTTCAGTTACATTCCTACCTTGTACATCAACAATCATGTCAAAAAGCAAATCTTCATTCTCTGGCAAGACAGCTGAGACCATGACACTACTGGTAAGCTCACCTATACCTTCATCCCCAAGGTTGACACTACTGCAACTCTTTGCCACTTTTACCCAAGTTTCACCCTCACTAACCTACTTACAGGACATGGCAACTTTAAGCAATACTTGCATAGATTCAACCTTGGGGACAATCCACAATGCAATTGTAGTATTCAGGAGGACCAAACACCACTTCACTTAGTTTTTCACTGCAATACGTACTACATTAGGGATAGTTTAATGAGAGCTGCTATTCTTGTAGGGTACAACTGTCCTAGCAACCCACACCAACTCATTCACATGCGTACAGTGTTCCATCATATACTCGCATTCATATCCCATAGTGGGGCTTTTGGGAGCACTCTCTCTGGGGGCATGGATGGCAATTAGCTTTCCCTTGCTTTGTTTCAACTGTCTGTATATAGCTGCCTTTTAACTTTGTATTTTAATTCTTATTTTTTATCTTCTTTTTTAGTCTAAATTCAATTAGTCCTAATTGTAAGTTAGATTAGGGACTCTTAGCTTGGTTTCCAGTTAGGTTATGATAGGTTAGGTTAAATTAGATTAAGGTTTGTTAGTTTTAGTCAAGTAGGTTAGTTTAGTTAGTGAGTAAGTTAACGTTTAAAAATAAATAAATAAATACATTAAAAAATATATAAAAAAAATAAAATAAATAAATAAATAAAAAGTTTGGGGTCTTGCTCGTTTGTCTCTGTTGGTCTGTTCATCTTGTCTAGTTTGTCATTGTGTTCATTTGCTTTTTGCGCTGTCTGTCTAGCTGTTAAGTAGTATCAAGATTCATGATCACATTCAGTTTTATTAGTATTAAGTAGATATAAGTCTTCCTACTAACAGCCACTTGGCACTAACTTCTACACTTAGCTATTCGTTGCAGCACTCAATTATTGGTGTTCACTACACTCACGTTTTTTTTTAGACCCTTTAGGGGACTACAGCCTTGCAGCCTAAAAACTGCATGTCAGCATCAAACATACAGGGTACTGTAACCTTATATATGCCATTCAGAGGGATCCTACCTTTCTCTACTGTCTATCTCCTCTCCCTCCTTCTTCCCCTCTTCTTTCCTTTATCCTATTTTTTTGCCAGCTAAACACTTAGTGTATGGTCGATGTCTTTCTTGTATATATGTGTTTTTCTTTCATGTTGTATGTATATTTGTATATTGTACATTTATATTACATCACCTGTGAATCTTTGCTCTTTTGTTATCATTATTATTCTGTTCACTACCAGCATCATTATTCTTTGTATTACTTTGTTAAGTTGTTCATCTTGCATTTCTTTTATATTTCTGCCTGGTTATGCTTAGCTGTACCAGGAAGCTTAATAAAGATTTTTTATAAAATGAAAAAAAATGTATATCATTTAAATTTGTTAAATTAAAATTTTAGTTGTGATTAAACTGGTTATGTAACAGTTAAATTATGTAAAATATGATTGTCTTTATCTTCTAACTTGTATGCAAAATCTAATGTTAAGTTGTTTCAAATTATTAGTTAATGGTAAAAATGCAAATTTCAGCAATTTTATAATAAAAATATTACATAATACTATTTTATGTAATATTATATCAGTGCATACAAACATCAAATATTTATGCATTATCAATTTCAGCTAAAAAAAATGCAAATACCTTAATTTTTAATAATTTTTGTATTAAAATAGTAATAAAATGAACAAAGTGTGCAATTACTAAAATCTTTCTTTTCATTATTGTGTAGCTTATAATTATATATACAATGTTATGTTATTATTTATTATTGCAGAAAACACTAATATTTCTGATATCTTTAATGTTTTATTACAGAATATTACAATGCCACATCAGTGGTTAGAAGGCAATCTTCCTGTTAGTGCAAAGTGTGCTGTTTGTGACAAAACTTGTGGTAGTGTTTTGCGATTACAGGATTGGCGATGTCTGTGGTGTAGAGCAATGGTAAATTGTTTAAAATTTTAAAATAAAATTTTCTTTATTATTTATTTATATTTAAACAAAAACAGATATTAATGTCAGTAATATCTGTAGTATACTTGATGTTTGAAGAGTCACCTGGAGTTGAGACAAGTTTGGGGTGGAAGTATGGTCAAATGTTGGTATGATGATTGCCTTAACAAATATAAAATAAATAAGCAGTAAATAAAGTAATTTTTGCTAATATTTACAAAGAAAGTTACATATAGGCTCTTCAATATCCATTTGAAACACACATTTGAAAATCAGTTGCCTAGCTTTTATTTACTACAGGGAATTAACATATTCTAAAATTGACAGTCGGTTTCTAAATAGTTCTCTGAGTCATTGTATGGAAATGGGAATTACTAAAAATTTATCAGTTTTTTCAAGCAGATACCTGTTAAGGACTTATCCCGAAATAACTCGGGAAAGTTCCATAGCATTACATAAAACTCGAGCGTTTGGACCCTCTGAAAATTTTTTTTTTGGATTTTTGGATGTTTTTTAGGTCTCCAAATTTTTTCAAAAATTTTTACCCCCGCGAAAAAATTTTATCGCGATTTTAAT